CCGCGATGCCATTGAAGACTCTATCATATGGCCAGTCCGAAAAATTATTCCCATTTTGCCTGGGGATTATAGGTACTCCTTTCTATAAGAGAGACTTCAAACCTTGTCATTTTCACTAACCCAGTTTGTTTGGGCTGTCCAATATGCGTTCCAATTGAACGCATTCACATTCACATGTAATCGAGATCTTCCTTTCATTTTCTATCTAGTCTCTGACATAAAAAATTAATATGTTTAATTTTATAATGAACCCATGTCTTTGTGGAAGGTGTTAAATTAAGATGTTTATCTAAATCTTAACCCTGAAAAGCCAAGCTAAACGTTTAATCTGTTGAGGCAAAACCTGCACTGACTTCTTTTTCAGTTTTATGAAAGTCAATTTGTCATGGGAATGGGAATCTATTAGAAATATTCAGCAACAGGTCAGTTTTTTCTATTGTATCCTGTGTATGTCGAGGCTACACTGTGATCTTACCTTCTACCGAACTTTAATGTTATTTGGATCCTTCCCTGTAACACCGGTGTCAATTCAAATACGATTTGGGAGTATTTGGTTTGTCTCATATAACTAGAACACTTTGCTAAATAAATTATGACTAAATTAGTAATGATTTACAAAGAATTTAGTTATACTAGCTTTAATTTAATACAATAACATACCCCCAGCATAGTCCTGCAGTTCCGCATGCGGGGTCTGGGTAGGGGGTTGAGTGTAGGCAAACCTTACCCCTGCCTTGGCAGGTAGAGAGGCTGTTTCCAATAGACCGTCGGCTCAGTGAAAACAAAAACACAACATTTATGAAGATATAAGCAGTAACAACAACAGGATAACTCTTAATTGTGACACAATATATTCTTATTAGCCATATCGTAGCACCAGACTTTGAACCGTACTCCTGAATCCTAGAATTTGTGTAATGAAGAGTCCAACCTCTAGATCAACATCTGTATCAGATGCCCACTTTCATAACATGAATGAGCTTAATAGAATTTTGTAAGTCTGTGAATAAAGTAGAAAACATGTATTTGTTGACTTTCTTCTCTACTTATCTAACCTTGCTGGGCTGAGACGCCATTTTCTATTTGACAATCTACTTTATTGTTAGTGACCTTGAACTGAAACCTACTGGAGTATTGGAGGTGAAACTTGTTCAAGCAAAAGAGTTAACAAACAAGGACATCATTGGTAAATCTGATCCTTTTGCTGAGTTATATGTACGCCCTGTACGAGATAGAATGAAGAAGAGCAAAACAATTGTAAGTATTTCATCTGCTATATAGAAGAATTTGGGTAATACATGTATCGAGTGAACATTTAAATGACCATTGTTCTTTTCAGAACAACGAACTGAATCCAATCTGGAATGAGCATTTCGAGTTTGTAGTTGAAGATCCATTGACACAACACTTGGTGATAAAGATCTATGATGATGAAGGGCTTCAAGCAGCTGAACTAATTGGATGCGCACATGTTCGTTTGAATGAGCTTGAGCCTGGTAAAGTGAAGGATGTTTGGCTGAAGTTGGTGAAAGATTTGGAGATCCAGAGAGACCAAAAGAATAGGGGCCAGGTGACGCTTGCATCCCCTTTTGTTTTCTGTGATCCTTCTCCATATTGGAACTTGCCACTATCAATTTATTATACATACAACTTCAATTTTGATTTAACATATATGTGTACTAGTGGAGTCCTAATCAATAATGTCTGAGAATCAAGTGTTTTTGCAACAATAATCAATTCATAATGTATGTGGTTTGCTTCAACAATAATCAGATCAAACTGCATATAATTGTTGTAGATTGAGTGCCATATGTAGTCTAGGTGAATTTTATTGAGTTTGATCCTACAGACGTTACCCAACAAAAACTGCAAATAACAGTTCTTGCTGATTCAGTCCACCTTCACTACTAAACTAGACAGTTTACTAGAGGTGAAACCTCCAAATATATGATCGATATCTCAATCAGTCCGATACACTTCTGTGTCCGAGATGTACATCAGTGACTTTCTTCCTCTTAAGAAACAACAATTTCTCACTTGCAAATGTGAACAGATTCATGCAGTACTCTATTCTTAGCATAACAGAGCATTCTGAACAGCAACTATAGCAAAATAGTACTTTGATTATCATATTATTTTGTTTTAGTTGCTGTTCAAAATGCTTTGTTATGCTTTAACTTTTGTTATTCTTTTTGTGGTTTTTCCTTGAGTCGAGGGTCTACAAAAACGGCTTCTCTACCTCTGAGGTAGGGGTAAGGTCTGCGTACACTTTACTCTCCTCACGCCGCACTTGGCGGGACTGCACTGGGTATGTTGTTGTTGTACTCTATTTTTAGTTCTCTATTTGAACTGTTCCCTTCATCTTTGCTTTAGGTGCACTTGGAGCTATTATATTGTCCTTATGGCATGACAAATGGATTCAGTAACCCTTTTGCCAATAATGTACCATTGACTTCACTGGAGAAGGTTCTTAAAAGTGGAGTAGAAGCTGCCCAAAATGGAGGTGAAATCAACAGGAGGAAGGATGTAATAGTACGAGGGGTACTCTCTGTAACCGTGATATCAGCTGAGGATCTGGCCCCTACTGATCTACTGGGGAAAGCTGATCCATATGTTGTAGTTACAATGAAGAAGACTGAAACAAAGAACAAAACCAGGGTATCATTTCTTATTATTTGAATATCGAACAAGAATTATCCATTTCTAAAGTAAATAGCCTTAAAATTCTTAATCAATAACTAGGAATAATGCTGATTATATATTCTTTTCATTTTAGGTTGTACCAGAAAGCTTAAATCCAGTATGGAATCAGACTTTTGACTTTGTCGTTGAGGACGGATTGCATGATATGTTAATTCTAGAAGTTTGGGACCATGACACCTTCGGAAAGGTAAGAGTACTTCCCTTTAATCAGATTCCATTGGTCCTGGTACAAAATTAACGTTGATAAACCAGGACTTAATATATCCATTCAGATACCAATGGTTCCCGATGTGAGATTTTCTTTAGCTGAGATGCCTTATTTTGAGTTTTCTGATGATTTCGGACATACTAGAATCGTTTTGGAAAATTTAAGTTCTGATAGATCTAAGAATACCAACAACACGAGCAATTATTACAGATATGTTCATCTAAGTTACGGTGTTCCTGAATTTTTATTGAATGATCAGCATCTGGATTTTGTTAATAAATTCAACTTGATATTACTGTGTTTAAAGAATAAGATGATTAGGGAGAAAAAATTATGCGTTTATTAAGACGAAAAAAATCATGTCGTCATTTCTCCTAACATCATTTGCCTTTTGCTCGGCCTACCAGCAAAACAATGTGGTCATCTTCAATTGTTCTCTTGCTGTACAAACACTAGATTAGTACAAATGAACCTCCAAGGGTAATGGTGGAAGAGACTGGTCTGAATTAGGCATTTGTTACCTTTTTTTCCATGACGGTGGCATTCAGACCATCTTGTGCGCACCTCCACTATCACACTGATACCTGCTACACCCTAGCTTGTACGCACCTCAACTCACAGTGGGTACCTGCTATGTTTGTGTGCACCTCAACTATCACACTGGGTACCTACTGTCCCCCCACCCATACACGTACTGTTTAACTTAATCCACCAAGGCTTATGATCAACTATTCCATTGCGTACCTGCTATAACCCCACCATACAGGTACTAGTAACTTAGTCCACCAAGGCTTATTGTCGGTTGAAGATGCTATGACACTTGAGCTCAAATCTAACCTTTAATCCAAGGCTTAGGCAGATTTGAAGAAATTACCTAGTGTATTTTGCCTTCGTTGGGGTTTGAACCAATGACCTCATGTTTCTCCTCTCACTTCAATGACTAGAACACCGAGGCTATATCCTTGGGCCTTCGTTTCTTTGTTTTGTTATCCTCTGCCCTCTTTTGAGGTACTTATGCTATTCAATATGTGGAGATAGTTACTATTCCTTTTCAGTTTACCCATCCGATATCCTAAGTCCACTGGGCCTGACTACCTCAGACTCACATTGGATAGCTCACACCACCAAAAGGCAGTTCACTGCATGTGAAACATTAAGGTTATTCGGTATATAGTAAATTGATTTTTCAAAAAGAGATCCATTTAAGTATTAAGAACAAATATATTAAGATATAAGATGGTGGCTTTCTCGGGAATATATACCTTCAAATTTTTTCTTGAAGAACCACTGCTACGTCATTAAACAAAAACGTACCCAATGCAATCCCACAAGTTGAATCTGGGGAGGGTAGTGGTTACGCAGAACTCATCCCTACCTTGGAAGGAAGAGAGGTTTCTGATAGGCCCTTGGCTCAAGGAAATACATCAATCTGAAGTCTTCCTATACTAGCCATTCATTTCCAGTACTAACAATTTATTTTGTTGGCAGGATTACATGGGAAGGTGCATATTGACATTGACAAGAGTACTAATGGAAGGTGAATATAAAGAAACCTTTGAACTAGATGGAGCTAAATCAGGGAAACTGAACTTGCATCTCAAATGGGCACCACAGCCTATATACAGAGACTCCTAATGATTTAATATCATATGATATGTTGTTGTTTTTGTAAGAGTTGTACAGACACAAGTTTCTTCGATTCTGTATGTCGATCGTAGACTATATGAAAATTTGTAGAGTGATAGTAGTACATTTTTGTAGATAATTGTTCTGTTAATGCTGAGTTGGCCTACTACATATGTAGTTTAGAGAGAAAAAGCATTTTGCTTGGTTAAAAGGAATTTATGTAGAGAGGTGGCATAAGGCAGCAGTTTCTTTTTGGAAAAATTACAAGGTGTTGCAGCTTTTCACTATTCAGAAATTAACCATTTCTGTATTTTGCAAAAATACATTATTTTTTCTGATATGTCATGTATTGTTGTTGTGTATCCTTATTTGACTGTGATTTTATGTCTGTATTCTTAGTATATTTCGCGCATACCTTCCGATCTTGATATCGTTAAACTTTGTAAGACAATAGACAGGTATATCAATCAAATAACACAAACAATGAAAATCTAATATGTAGCTATTTCAAATTTACAAGAGCTATACTTTCCATAATGCTGTCATATAAACAGCACAAATCCTTATTTTACATGAACCAATACACTGGGAAAATAGCTGGATCCACTCTCTGCAACAAAAGTAGATAGATTTTACAACATAGTAAACAACATACTGTGACACATAGTTTGATAACATGTTTGAGAAACTGTGTCTCAGAATCGCGCAGTGAAAGGCCTTTCGGAAATGACAGAGTTCAGATGATTCTTGTTCAACTTTCTCCTGCGAAGACCACTTCCCCTGCAGAACAATGGCACTTATTAGTATCGCGAGTAAACAACAAGGTTACTACTTCATAGCACTCAAGGGTGTGGCTTAGCCGACAACTATATGGTATCAGGGTTCAAATTGCAGCAGAACTAAACAGGTAGGTGTGATGTATCTATCCTCAATTGCTTAAGCCTTAGAGGATAGTGGATAGAGTTACTCTATACCTTTGCTGATGGGAGATCACAGTGCTTGCAAGATGGCCCGGACACCATCATTATATAAGAATGATCTAAAACCAATTTGAATTTCAAGTAATGAAATGTTTGAAAGGACAACTTTTAGCATTGAGAATGATCTTCTTGAAAACACAACAAATAGTCACTGTTTAGTGGCATGGATCTAAAAAACTGCAGGCTATATATATGATTTCACTATTATCAAGTTCAAACTAGATGGGACATTCAATAAAGAAGAGAGATGAAAAGAATGTAATTACTCACCAATACTGGTTGTGCAATGTAAATGAGTCAGTTGTAATGTTATTTCCATCATCATTTCGGTTCCAGTGGTAGATTGCATGTGTTCTATTCTTGATATCTAGAGTCGAATGACCATAGCTAGCTTCACGGAAAGCAGAATATTCTGGCTGGGGATCTCTAAATCTGGACAGAAAAGCAAATGATAGTACAGGTACAGTTCAACAGAAAATAGAAAGTCATATTAGTTATATTTTCATGTTAACTTACTTTGAAGCAAGACCTTCTGAATTTCCTCCATCACCAACAGTTATGTAAATAGGAGCTTTTTTATCAGGTACGGGATAAGCATCACCACCCGAGACATTGTAGTGTATATTAGATATACGATACTGAAAATGATAAGAAAATTGGAAGTTAACATTAGCTCTTAAGCAATGCTATAGAGTTGAAAGGGAAACTAGGAAGATAGAAGAAATGTGCAACTGATATCTGCGACAAATTCTTTCTAAAGACAAACAGAACCTTCACATACATTACTGCTAGCTACGCTCAATTTTTTGAGTAAAATACTAGGCCGTCCAGGAATATATCAGTTTGGAAATAAACATGATACGTCTTAATGTATTACTCCAGTCTTTGGTTGATACTGTTATGATATTGTGCTCAAAGATATAGAGCATTGCGGATTGAAGTTTGTCAATATACTCCTAGCTTCCTATTGATCTTTGTTATTTCTAGTTGAGTTTTTTTTTTCCGAGAGTTAATTATGGCTACATGAAGAATGTGATCTTTACTTTGAGAGACAAGCAGGTACGACAACATGATGAGATAAGACAACTTACTGATCTTTCATAAGCATGGACGTGGCCAGCAAAGATCACATCGACTTTGTATTTGACAAACCATCTTTCATAGGAGGATCTCATGCTTTCCCCTTCCATGAAATGAGCTTCATTACTGTTGTAGATAGGAACATGCATAAGGACTATAAGCCAAGGAGTTTTCTCTCTGTTCACCTTTTTAAATTCCTGTTTCAACCAATGCCATTGAGGTGTATATTTTACTGCATGACAAGAGAGCGTATAAGTAGCTATTCAATCGAAGGAGCAATTATCACGGAAAATAACCCTCAAAGGTAAAGTAAGAGAAGTACTTCTCAGATTTCTATAAAATTCAAAACTAGGTCCTAAAGCTTGTGTTTTCCTTTTAAAAACCGTGAGAAATTACTCTCCGAAACTTGAAGAGACCTGTACAAGTTTCCCCAGAAGAATGCACCAAATAGTTACAGGAAAACTTTCTTCCTTCCATATGGACATGGTTCGGCAGTAAAGGAACGAATAATTGGCAATCAAGACCACAATTAACAAACAGAATACTATAGATCTTAGAAACACTGCAATGCAAAAGCTAGTGAGCGTGAGTTTGAGAATTCTAACTTACAGATGCATATACTTAGTTGATTACACAATGTTTTGCATTTCATTACAGTTAACACTGTATGTCTTCTGAAATTAGAAAATTTGTACATTTCAAAATCCTGATTTTTAGTTTGTGGTAGGTTCTATTTATCGTTAGGCGTATTAGTTTTCCAAAATCTTCAATTTACTCAAACTTTAGCAAGAGCTAGTAGATTTTTCAGAACTAGATCATCAAATTAGTGTCTACAAACCTAGTTAAAGAAACCAAAAAAAAAGCATAAGAGAGGGAACAATTACTTACCAAAAGGGGAATAGCTTGATAGGACAATTATGTGAGCAGATGCCCTCCTGATGGCATACCAAAGGGGATTACTGCTTTTTGAAGCTCGATAAGGTGTGGGGTATCTAGATAGAAATGATCTGAATGGAACTACTTCCCCCTGTACACAATGAGAAATATAGTTAATTGGCATCAAACTATTATGAACAAACATAATACAAAGTTCCTTGGGATGGGAGAAATTTTACATGAATCATTGGTGGAGTTCTATTTATTTTGATTTAAGTCGGTAATTTTCAAGACATTGCACAAAAAGCCCCAACCACATTGGAGGTCAAGATGTACAACAAGAACAACATATCTAGTGTAATCCAAGAGTGGGGTCCGGGGAGGATAGAGTGTACGTAACCCTTGCCCCTACCATGCGAGGTAGAGAGGTTGTTTCTGATAGACCCTCGGCTCAAGGAAAAGGATCTAAAAGCAGATTTAAAAATAAATAATGAAACTGAAGAAATCATGGCAAAATACTATAGAATGGCATGCTTATGGTTACTGGAATCTTTCAACATGTACTGATATCCTCAGAACAACGTAAATTTCACTTTTTAACAGGAAAGCATTAGTAACAACGAGAATGAAACATGTCCTACAGTAGAAAACCTCTTCATCAACAATGTTACAAATTTACTAGGTTTAGTGACCTTGATCATAAAAGATGACATCAAGGTAAGTTCTTTTTTAACCTAAAGAAGACAGTTTTTTTTTTCATTTTATTTGCACTAGCATGATTTTACTGAGTATCGACATACTTAGTCAGAAACTAAGGACGTACCCACTTAACTGACATTATAAGGAAACCCGAAAAGACGTTGTGAAATAATTGCAAGGTCATTAGCTGTATTACAATACATTACCATATATGGAAAGTACTCTATCTCATGATTCCCAGCAGACCAAATCCATGGCTGGTATGCCGTACTTTGTTCAACTAGGCGGCCAAATGTATCCCAACGGACTCCAACATCGTTATACTGATATCTGTCAGCATAAGAGAGGTCTCCGACAAACAAGACACTCTTTGCTCCACTAGCCATATAATGTTGAAGAGTTGAAAGGGAATTATATGTTTGACCAAGGTCACCTGCAAAGGATGTTGGATGAACTGTATAATAATCCTGACACGATAATGAGCATGTTTGGCTAAGATTATAAGCTAAGCACTTGGTAAATACTGAAGTGCTTATAAGCTAACTCATCCAAAAGTCATAGGTTGGTCATTAACAAACAGATTTTCAGCTTATAAGCACTTCCGCTTCAACCATGTATTTACTAATTTATCCTGAATATTTTTTCTATATCTTTCCCAAAATAAAACTCCTTACTTCTTCTTCACTCTGTATTCGTGGTTCCTCCTTTTATTTTCCAGGGATACTTTCAAATGTATTATTTTTTGCAAAAATGTTAAAGGTATTTTAGTCATTCTAACAAAAGAATAGCTTACCAACACCTTTTTACTAAACACATCTATTGCTTATTAATAACTTCGGCACTTCTATCCAAACACGAAATTGCTTATTTGTATTCAGCGTTTAAAAATAATTATTAAGCACTTAAAATTTATCAGCTATTTGCAGTCAACTAATCCAAACGGGCTCACATACAGTATGTGAATGAATTAATACTTAATGATACAGAGTCATTTGTCTAGATGTGAAACGTTTAAATAGGTGCAGGGACATCAAGATGCGGTAAAACAAATAAAGAACTATACTGACTTGCTATGCAAAAGAGAGTCAAAGCTTTCTAATTTTGCTTCCTATGAATGGTTGGATTAATGTTACATTACCAAGAAAAAACTCATATCTCTTCCATGAACGAAAAAGCTAGGAACTAATGTTCTTTTTAATCCTAGCATTCTATACATTTTCTTTCAGCTCTATATAGTGAAAACAAATAAACTATATTTCTGTCATAACGAAGTTATGTGATGTTATGGTGTATAAACTATCGTATAGCAACTTACAAGAATACATCTTGTTCTTCTGATAAAGATAAAACAACCGAAAGAAATTTACTTAGCTAACTTATCAAATAGAAAATTTAAACTACTAACCTATGATACCAAATTTGTAAGAAGCATCTGGATCAACTTTTGGAGGAGTTTCAAACCAAAAATTCCTTGCAGAATCTCCTTTTCCAATTTCATAGTAGTACTTTGTGTCATACTAAACCAGAAGGTAAAACAGATTGTGTCAAGCAGATTGAAAAAGGGGAGGTGATAACATTTAAGACATCCATATGCCATTATCGCCATGCAAAGAGATTATTAAGGAACTTCTTCCATGAGTCTCTTAATTACTAGTGCTCCTGGGGTGAAAGATATAAAATATGTAACATGTAAAGTATCTAAAATTAATCTGACAAACAAAATTTGCAATCATCAAATAAGCCAGATGTAAACCCAAACTTGATGTTTTTCTATCAATCCAAGATTATATCCAAACTCTTATATTATAATTAGATTAGAAAAAAACAGCACAAGGGAAGTGTTGATTGTATGTTCAACACAACAACAAACTGTGCAGATTATTCATTAAATTTATCATGGCGTCTATGTCATTTAACATTGGTCCTAGCCATGTTACATCAAAAAAGGAGCAAAGAGCGACAATAAGTTCATATCAAACTCTTGTAATTACGCCATACTTAATTTTTTGTTTCTACAACAGTAATATGTTAGTCGATCTATCCTTCTTAAACTTCTTTTTTCTAACAAGTCCCCTTGTAGTTAGTCTTTGCTTTGTGGAAATGAAATAGAGAATATGAACTACAAAGAGATATCGGGCTTACCAATTTTACAGTGAGATGAAATACAGAAACTAAGCAGTAGTTATTTGGTCTCGGAAAAATATATGAGAATGCTCACCTATACGCTACGTTAAAATGCACTTGCATGATGCATATTAGCCCACAGATGATAAGATAAAATCGATCACTGTTTCATTTTTTAAAAAAGGATAACAAAATGTTGGTCTTGACTACCTGAAGGCCAGTTACAAGGCACTGATGTATGTAACCAGACTCATACTTGTAGAATGTATAGTTATTTAGAGTCCCTTCAACAGTAACATCATATTTCCCTTCAGATAAGCCATATCGCACTTCGCTAGACCCTGGTTCATCAGCAGTTACCCATGAGATAATGACAGCTTCCCCATCATAGTCACCTTGTGTAATATGCACCTAGAAGAATGACTGAAGCTATTAGCACTTTAAAGGCCACATAACATTGCCATTTCAAAAGCCATGTTTATGAAAGAACAGACACGAGAAAAACTAGGGATGACAAGGGAGCGAGATGAGTTTTTGCTTATGCAGGGCAGGGCGGGTTGCTGATTTGTTCATGGCACTACTCACAATCAAAAAATTTCACAGCATATCTTTGTAAAATCCAATCATTGTTGCAAGCTCAAATCTAGTAGCTAAGGACATTAATCTGAAAAAGAAAAGAAATTTCTTGACGAGTACTTTAATACAGAAGCACTTTGACATCTAGTATTGCAATTCTGTGACGTAGATCCAAATATTACATAACTAAAACTAATTGAAATTCCATCAAAATAATAACAAACAACTTATGCTAAACTGCAATGATTGTATAAAAAGTACTATTAAACAGTTAGTATAAGCAGCTTAACTTTTTTTCTAATTAAGACAATGGAAATTAGTATAGTACATATTTAAATCCAATTCTATCAACATTATGAGCCAGTGAAAAGGCAATGCACAAAAAATTTACAGCTCTTGCATTATATATAGCAGAAAAAATGAAATCAGAAAAAAAAAACTAAGCTCTAATCTAGTCCGTTTAATGCTGCATCACATATCTTCATATTATAAAGAAGAAGTGACGTGAAAAAACTCATGTGGGGCGGGTTGAAATTTTGAGGGTCAAGGTTCCCCTTGCCATCCCTAAGCAAAATTTCTGCATATGAAACAGCTTGGAATTCGAAATAGAAAAGAAAATGTAAAAGCAAAACATTTAACTGGTCTCTAAGCAAACCATGGAGCTTGAAATTAGACACAGAGAAAACAAAATTTATAGCAATATTATAATGTTCTTTAAATCACAATTTCCAAGTATCTCAAGGAAGTGGTTGTAGAGAGAACTTTGCAGATTGGAAGATTGAATATCATGCATTGAACTAAGACTTCGATTTAAAGTAATTGAACAAGAATTGACTAGGAAAGGACTGTAGCCGAACAATAATTGACTAGGAAAGGACTGTATATGAACAACAAACCTGTTAAGAAAGCTTTGACCAACACAACAAAAAGTAGGTCTTAAGACTGTAAACTTACTTGCTGTGGAGCGTTATAACCATTTGGAACTGAAAGTACTTCATTTTCAAGGGGAATATCAACAGACGGAAACTGAGTTCGAACGAATGCACTTGTTATACCAGCACTTCCATTGTCTATAAATGTCGAAAAGAGAGATAACGAAAAGAAGAGACAAAGCAACATTGTCTCCTCTCCACAAACTTCCAAGATAAGCACTGCTCGATCAGAGAGAACTCAGGTAACACTAGTTATAATTGACTGCATCCAAGAAGAACCGACACAATGATCAGAAGACAAAAGGAAAAGATTAAATAACAGAAAAAAAGTAAAATGTAAACATTAAAACACATGCTGAGAAATTTCTCAGTAAATGTCACAGTGACAAAGATTAGCACAAAGGAGAAAAAGTCAAATGTAAACATTACAAACATATGCTGAGAAATTTCTGAATAAATGCCACAATGACAAAGTATTAGCACAAAGGCCCATCACTTGAGAAAATCATCTAGTAACTCCTTTTTTTGCCCATCTATTGGTTTTACCTCTCTTTTCAAGGCACTAGTGTAACTTAAATTACAATATAAAGCATAAACAATTGAGCATCTCTCAGCAATATCTTTATAATATGAACGATGTTTATGCAGACTAAACAAAGAATTGGAGGTTGTTAACTCAGTATCATGTATCTCCAAGACTCATTCCATTTCAAAGTGCATTAAATATGCATAATTAAGTGTATCATACTCATTTATATACAGTTAAACATAAACAACAACTAAGCCTCGGTAAACTGTGGGCGGAGTTAAAAGGCTACCTACAATATTCAGTAGCTTTCGTCTAAACCTTATATCTGTATCAATAAATCCAAGTATACACCAAAAAAAAAGTAAATTCAGAACTTAGTTACTAAAAACTCCGTGTCTATTCTGGAATATAGAACCCATAAAGTTCAAATCTTGACTTTGCCTATGTCCCGAACAAGTTATGATCTGCTATTGAATTTAATAATTCATAATATTTGGAAACAAATAATAAAAATTGAAGATCATATCAATAATATACATCAACAAGCAATCTCTTTGAATTGGGCTACTAGAATCATCACAAACCAAGCACAAAATGGATGAAGTTATATGCAGTTCTTAAATCTGTCAAAATACAATCTCTCACAAAAAGCAAACAATACCCATATGAAATAAATGTGATTAGAACACCAAGAAACTGAGAATCAACAAGTCAGAAGTAGTTTTATACTATCAACAGAACACTATGTCTTCATCGATACTAAAAATGCAGTCTTTCTCAAATGGCAACATCAAAAACTTAAGATCTTTTCAATTGGGTATAGTAGAAGTATCACAGACCTAACAGAAAAATGTATGAAATTCAGAATTCTTAACTCTGTCAAAATACAATCTTTCATAAAAAGCAAACACACCCACATGAAACAAAAGTGATTAGAACACCAAGAAAGTGAGAATCAACAAGTGAGATGTATTTTTATACCTTCAACATAACACTATGTCTTCATCTATACTAAAAATGCAGTCTTTCTCAAATGGGTATATCAAAAACTTAATCTTTTTAATTGGGTATAATAGAAGTATCACAGACCTAACAGAAAAATGTATAAAATTCAAAGTTGTTAACTATGTAAAGATACAATCTTTCATGAAAAGCAAACACACCCACATGAAAATAAATGTGATTAGAACATCAAGAAAGTGTTTAGGGTAGAGTACCTTTGAAGGCTAAAACAACAAGGGAGTGAACCAGACAAAAAAATTGATATTTTTGAACTGAAAATGTAATCTTTTTGAAATGGGTGTATCAAAAAGATGATTTTTTGAATTGGGTACAGTTGATTAACTACAAATCAAGTTCAAAAAAACACATGAATATTCAAAGGAACAATTGTTCTTTTTTTATCAGTTGGATTAGTGTGTGTGTGTTGGTTAATTTAATAGCTTAAAAATTAAAGAAATGTTAGGAGGGAAGTTTAGTTACGTGACAAGATATGATTGGTGATCTGTTTTGGGGATTCGTGTCAATTTTGTGGGTCCCACATGTCTCACTAAATGAAATATCTTGGTGTAATACATGTTTATTGATTGGAATGGTAAGTTTAAGAATTAGGCTATGATTGATACACGTATCTCGAAGTTAAAATTAGGTGTAATTTTATTTTATATATATTGTAATTAAATGAATTTTTATGCATATAATTTTCTCGCATGTCTCTCTTGTACCTCGATCATCTCTCTTCTCTCTCGATCGCGTCTCCTCCATATCAGTGGAGGTACTGGAAAAAATTTAAAAAAAGAAATGTTACTGGCGAGATTTGAACCCTCACTAGTGGCTTTGCGAGCCTCTTATTGAGGAGGTTTAAACCAATTCACCCACAGCTACTTCTATGGCTGCTCATTTAAATTATAATAATATATGTATCATATTTTTTATATATATACAAAAATTTCAAAAATCAATGGGTGCTCGAGCACCGCGTCTGGCTTACTGGGTCCGCCCCTGCTCCGTATATCTATATCTTGTAATGTATATAAAATTTCATATTTGTGTATTTAGTATGATTCAACATATTTGGGAATCGAGATACACTAATTGACTATCTCATTATTTGCATCCCTTTGTTTCTCTTCTTATTTTAGTATATTTGAGAGTAAAATACATGTATTCAGATGTATTTAACTTGAGAATTAATATAACATTGTTAATCAGTAAGACAATATATAATTATTTCAAACTATAAAGAGAATTAATAAACACAATAGGAATATTTGTATAATTACGCGTTTGTAAGTTGAATTCGTTTTTGTGATTGAACCAACAACGTACTTTTTATATATATTGATTTCCTATTTGTAATTTGCTATACATTTAATAGATTCTCAATATAAATATGTGTCATCTAAAATTTATCCCAATAAATATCTTAAAGTCATCCTTGTAATTAGAAAGATCTATATAATCATAAAAGATTGAATCAAATATAAGTTAATTTATATTTGGAAAGAATTGTTGATTTAAATAACTAGTCATCATGTCTGATATATAGTAACACAAAATAATCGTATGTTAAATTATTACGGAAGGCTCTTGAGTTAAAATTCAAACTAGAAGTGACGCATACGCATTACACCTACCATTCCCTTGCCGACAAAAAAAAAATCCAAACTCATAGAGTTTGTTTGATCATGAGAATAGATCATGATATTTCATACTGACAACTTTAGCGTACTATCTATATGAAATAATCTATTCGACTATTTACACTAGATTAATAAAATAAAATAATTTTAAAACTAAATATAAGATGCACGATCAAACCAAAAAGTAATATAAATACATAATTTTTTAAAAAATTATTATCTTTATCTCACCAATCAACTATCTCGATGTAATATTATATTTTCATCCATACGGCTATTAGGAATTGTGGAAGGGTAGATGTTGACTAGACCTAACATAAATTGAAATATGTTTAATTAAATGTAATATGTGTAGAATATTCGAATCTACATATATCCTTTTGGAATATGTCATTATTATTAATTAATTTGGGTAATGCATAAATTAATTATGTGATTGTGAGAAAATTTGATGAACGAAGTTAACGCGTATAATTATAAAATAATATTAACAATAAAATATCCAGTATATTGTTTAAAATATGAAAAGAATGGATATACGAAAAATAGAAAATCTTATTCTAATTATAGAGTAAAAGGATTTGTTTTTTTTTTAATCTTTTTATAGATTTTGAGATCGAATAATCAATTTCAAGAAATTATTGAAATAAAATGTTAAGATAAAAATATTGAGGAAAAAAATTATCTAATTTTATAAATATTAAGAGTAATCAAATTAAAGAAGAAGAAACAACAATAATAATAAAATCAAAGCATAAAATAATACTCCTAATAATACAGATAAAATAATAGAGTACAAAAACTTCAGAGTGTAATGTGAAAGTTAGCTAAACTAATTTCAAAAGATCACAAATAAGAAAATAAACGAGAAATATATCAAAAGCTATAATAATTTAACGTGGTTCGATCAATTGACCTTCATCCACGAAAAAGATGATCAATCAACTATAAATATGAGAGTACAATATATAAAGAAAAACATCATCAATCAATTCACTCGAAATACATGAAGGTTTACAAATTAGGACCCGTTTGACTCCTAGGTGGTCCCTCTTTCTCGCGTAAAAATAATTAAAATTCAAATACGTCATATTTTACCGGAAAGAATCGAACCGTAAAAACGAATTTACGGAGTGGAAAAAAAATTGAAAAAATTTGGTTTTGTAACTTGGCAAAAAACTAGTACCTAGGTAAAGCTCTAATATTGAGGAATTTTACAAAATTCAAAAATTACCTCAAATTTTATATTATACAAAAGATACCCATTACTTATTAATTTCAAATAATATTTGTCATTATCTTCTTCTAAAAAATTTGAATTCTAATTTGAGTGATAAGATTGAAAAAAGGAGAAAATAATTTGCCAGTATAATCATTATTTTTATTATTATTGATTGTTATCCATTATATTATAAAATTATTTTTAACGAAACATATTAGTTATAAATAAAAAATATAATCTTTTAAATATTTTTAATAATTTTTAAAATTTATGAACATAAATAATATATATTTTTAAACGTTTCTACCAAACGTTAACTAATTAATTTGATTCATGTAACATGTGAAAGCAAGGAAAGTCAACAAAAATAACTTCAACCACGCGTTAATCCATGAAATTTGGAAGAAATCATGTTCTAATGGTCGATGCATTAAGTTTTTATTATGCGTAGAATTTAAAAAAATATTATTGATTGAAAATTATAAAATTAAATGATATTTTAATTATATTAAACATATTTTTAATTCAAAAATAGAACAATATAACGTACTAAATTATCACTACATCAAACTTTAAAAAAGTGTTAAATCGCCTATAGAGTCATTCGTTTGGAATAATAATAAATAACGGAATAATAGTATGTATATTTCTTCAAAATAATATTTTCACACACATCTCTGACCTCCTAATAATACGAACAATAACTTTATCCGTTATTGTCAAAACGTGACAAACAAATTAAAATAGATTAGAAAAAGATGATAAATGGATTCTGAACTATTACCATTTGTCATACTTTAGGAACATTGGTGTTCATATGCCCTTCAGTCTAATGGAAGAATAAATAAGGACACGTAACACAATTTTATCCACCGATTCGATGTCGGGTCGATCGAAAAGATTATGACACGTGTATGTCCGTTAGTATAAATAGTACTCCCTCCGTTTAAAATAGATTGACCTCCTTTCCTTTTTAATCCGTTTTAAAAAATGACTTCTTTCCTTTTTTGGTAACATTTTAATTTCAGCTTGCCACATGACATGTTTAAAATCACAAAATTAAAGGGCAATTTAGTACATTTGACATAACTTTGATTTAGAACGACAAGATTCAAAAGTCTTCTATATATTCTAAAACTCCATGCTAAATCAAATCAGATCAACGGATGGAGTCTAATTTTTGAACGGTAGAGACAATAATGACAGTAATGTATGACGGAGGATATCCATATACCATTTACGATAGTTAGGGGTGTATTTGTCTTTTTTTTCCCGATAGATTATAATAGACTCCATCTTCTACTCACATAGCTTCCATTTTTTTTCTCTTCTTCAACATCATCAATGGAGGATGAAGAAGAAACACAGCAAATACTCAAAGTTCTCGAAGCACTAAAACAAGCTTCACAACAACTACAATCGAATCCAGAATCCGATACATCCGAATCCGACTCATCATCTTCATCATCCGCCATTAAAGCTTTGCTTGAGCTCGACACTTACTCCGACCCGAACCTCTTAAATCTATCTAACCATCTCTCCGATCTCAAAACCCTAATCTCTTCGTTACATAAATCGAAACACAAACATGGTAGAATCAAATCATTCCTCACTCGTAGAGTCAAAACTCATGAAATCACAAAAGTTGCAGAATCAATCGAATCAGAAATCCAAGCTTGGATTGATCGAGAATCGATTACAAATCTCACTAATCAGCTTCAACAAATCCGTTTACAATCAAATTCATCGCAATACGAAGAAGATGAAGATGAAATCGTTGAGAAATTAACTATTTTCCATGATCGATTGAGTCAGGGCTTCAATATAAACCTTCAGGAATTGTTATTGAAATCAAAAATTTTCTCCGAGCTCGAATTTCTCATCTGCTGCGACGGTAATATACCTGAGAAAATTCGTGAAAAAGCTGGATACGCTTTGAAAGAAGTTGTACTATTCAACAAAGACGTATTCGTTGGGCAAATTCTAATGGGTCAAACAATAAAAGCTTTGATTTCAATGGATTCTCTGTGTTCATTAGAAGTTTTATCTTCGCTTATAAAAGCAATTCGAAGTCCTTTCGTCGATGTACTCGAATCCGTTGGTGGAATTTCAAAGTCGATTTCGTATTTAAACTCCGATGATTTGCCATTCAAGGTAACTGCTATGGATTTTGTACTTGAAATTGGGTATTTTGGGAGAAAAGAAGCTGTAGAAGCAATGTTGAACTGCGATTTGATTAAAAAATTGGTGGGGTTACAGAGGTCTGATTTGGGTGGTGATTTGATTGATTTGGGAAAAGTTCATGATGAAGAAATCGACGAAGATGAACACGAAGAGAAAACGAAGAAGAAAAGGGGAAACAAAGAGAAGAGATTTTTGGAGAAACATCCATTTGCGAGCTGTGTAGCAAGATTTACAGTGCAATTGGAAGTAGGAGAAGGATTAAGACAGAGAGAAAAAAGGGGATTTAAACAGGAGATATTGAAGAAGATTAGAGACGCTTGTGATACTGATGCTGAAGCTGCCACCATTGTTGCTGAGGTTCTATGGGGTTCTTCACCTTGAAAGCCGACGAGTAAGCACGCGAGTCACGTACGTTTAAACACTATAACTCGTTTTCTTCTCTATTCAGTTGAACACTCTAACTTATAACATGATTATCCGGATACCATCATAAACACGTTAGTATCGAGGATGAACGAGACATAATCGGAATGAGTTAAAGTGTTTAGATATCATTTGAAATTTCAAGTTGACGTGCGTATAAATATATATTCTCAAAGTTGAAGTGTTTTGTTGGCTTAAAGGTCGAATTTCAAAAATTATTATGTTTAAATATGATTTTTTTTTTTTAAAAAAAACTATTGGTGTATTTTTGTGGATTGTTTAATGTTTAATTGTTGGTGTATGTACTTCTTGTTGTAAAGGGTCAGATGAAATAAATTCTATAGATTTTTCCTTAAAAAAAATTATTTTTAGTTTTAAGAACTCAATTTATTTAATAATTTTATGTGAATTTCATGAATATATGCCTGAAATTTAGTTATTTTTACTTAAACTTTAGGCATAAATATATAAACTTCAGTTATATATAACTTCAAATAGTATATTATGTGAGATTATTATGAAATAATAGTTATGCAATTTTTAAAAAATGTATAAGTTAAATAGTTATAGTGTTTAAATAATATCATTATGAAATTTTTATGAATAAAAAGTGTGATATAAAAAAATATTTCTTTTTAATCATGTAACTCACAGATAACATTTTTTTTATTACACAAGACTTTTCTTTTTGTCCCACAAAAAAGTAAACCTAAATCTTATGCTCTATGATGTTTGTAAAATGCTTATAAATTAACACCTAGGTCGTGATGTATTAGTGAGAGTGTTTCATCCTTAATCAGATGTCTCAGATTTGAGTTGTAGGTATGGAAAATTGTTACATTATGTTTTTCCGAAAGTTAATTTAAGTCAATTTTTAAAATTATATTAAATCAATATATTAAATTAAATTTTTTAAATACTTTAAAAACTATACGAAAAGTACTATAGAATATATTTTTTTGCATATTAATAGGGTGGAAAAATATGTCGTAAAATATTAGACAAAATTTTTTATAATCTAACTGTAAAAGATAATTATAAGAGGACGAAATAATATATTTTTATTTAAAAAAATAAATGGAAGAAATAATATATTTTTATCAAAAAAAATATATGGAAGATCAATGGGATAACTTGCGATACGTATATATGAATAGAGTGGTGGAGAAAACACTAGCAAAGATAAATACGTAATTATTAATGTAATTGGTTTTAAAAGATGACACGTTATTTTGACTTCTTTACCTTATGTATTTTTTTTTTTTAAAAATAATTTATCGTATTTTATTTGAATTAAAAATTTATTAAAAATAATTTTTTTATTTAAAAATAAGAATAAAATTTGTATATACGTGAATTATTTTTTTCGGTGAAATTATACTAAGGACCCGTTTGGCCATAAATTTTGCAAGTAAAACTTGACAAATTTTGTTTGTCCATACACTTTTTTATTATTTGGCATTGCAAATTTTCCAAATTCCCAAATACTAGAAAAAACTAGTATTTGGGCCAAATTTCATATTTGGAAAGTTTTAGAAATTCAATTTTTACCCTTAACTTTTTATTTTACAAAAATAATATATTTATTGACACCAACCAATTCTTGACTCATCGGCCAACTTTCCATTTCCATCACATGGTATATAAACTAGTAGCTCCATTCATTGGAATGCGCTGTCATTTGCAGGACTACCAAGGAAGTGAAAGAGAGCCTAAGAATGGAAAAGAGCTATTTAACTATAAACATGCTTCTCTGCGCAATGTAATTGAAAGAACTTTTGGTGCGTGGAAAAGTAGATTCAGAATACTAAGACAAGGCATGAACAACTATGAATGTGACATGCAAGTGAAAATAGTAATTGCTTGCGCTGTATTGCATAATTTTTTACGTGAACACCAAAGTAGTGATGGAATATTCAATGAATATGAAAATGATGATATGGTTATTGATGAAAGTGACGAACTACTGGCTCAGGATAACAACATCGCTTCATCTTCTCGATCGTCTGATTCGAAAATGCAAACTCATCGAGAAGAGATTGTTCATAAAATGTGGGAAGATTATATTAAAGAATAGGTTGAACTCTTTCAGATGAGAAAACATAGGTTTTTCAGTGATTATAATATTTATTTCCTTTTGTTTTCTTCTCTTTTTTTTTCCGAATTTATATTAGTTGTATTTTCATTATCATGATTTGTACCAAGACCTTTTCACTATACGAATATTTACTGTAATGATTCTTGTTGATTTGTTGCGGAAGTCATAAATCTTGTTACGTGAGATTTCTATTGTGCTATGTAATACAAATTTATGGTTAGTTTGATAGTTTTAAAAACTTATGGGTATAAATCATATTTCTTAAAAAAATAAAATATGTTTCTCAAATTCTATGGCCAAACACATGGTAAAATTTCACCCAAATAATATTTGCCAAAAATATTTGAATATCTATGGCCAAACGCTAGCTAAGTATGTTTATTATGATTTATTTGTCTTTTATTTATGAAGTGACATCGTAGGCCAAAATAGTCAAATATTCGAAAGTAGCAAATGGGGACACAAGACGTATGGCTTATAAAAAGTCCTCTTGTATTTTGGCAATTTTGGATGATAGAATCTTTTGTATTATTATAATTTATTTGACGTGCCGTTAGCGACGTTGAATGAGTGAATTATTTTAAATCTAAACGAGTTGAAAATAGATTAACATAAAATATTTTTCAATGATACGTAGAAAAAATTAATAAATATTCCTCTAAATGAAATACGCTCTAGACATTCCCTTACTTTTCATATTTTACTCATGTTTTTACTCATATTCTTATGGGTTAAATAATAGAAATCCAAAATTTATCGATTCGAGAGATTACTTAAATATAAATCAATTTTGATAAATATCAAGTTCAGTGTGAGCTAAGAAAAAAAAGAAGAAGAAGATAAAAGGCATTTTTGCATGAATATTCTCTAAATTTTTTTTTAAAAAAAATAATAAAATTGTCTATCATTATCAAGACCATTTTTGTATTTATATGTTTGTCATACTTTAATTTACTAATTAACAAAAATAAAATACGTGCATGTCTTTCACGTCATCACTAATATAAGAAAATGATATGGGAGGAAGCTACCTTGTGAATATAATAATGGAAAATTGCTGAAGTTACTTTCGTTTGGGAAAATTATATATAATAGCAAATTAATAACCTAAAACAAAAGGAATAGCTAAGGTTTGATTTAATTGTGCTTCGTAACAAACGTTTGCAAAAAATTGTGTATGTATAGCGAATTATACAATTTCTATGTTTGCTATACAACGCAATTATGCAAACTTTACTATAGCATATGAATTTTGAATTTGCTAAGTTGCCTTTTTTTTAATTGGTTAAACATCATGATTTCTATTGACTAATTGGGGATGAAAATATTTTTTAATACATTTATATACATATTTCAAATATTAAAATAAAGCCGTTTGAATTTAAATGATTGAACGATTTGTTTAATCAAGTATATGAATGTGCATAATCTATTTACTTTTAAATATAATAATATATATTTTCAAACAAAAAAATAGTAAGATGTTAGAAAAAAAATGTTGATTTTATAAAATTACATTTTATTTGATTAAGGAAAATGTTTTATGTTTGCTAGTAATGGTGGAAATGATTGAATATGGTGTTGGTGGACATGGTTTGTAATAATAGTGATAGTAATAGAGATGATTGGTGGTAACGGCCGGAAATAGTGGTGGTGATAGTCGTGATATTGGAGATGATTAGTGTTGTAATGACTGACGCCAGTTGGCGATAATAGTTGTGATGGAAAAGTTGGTTGTTCAATAGAAAGATGGCAATTGATGGTGATAATCGTAATGATGAGGTTAGTTGATACAAGCAACTATATCCACCCATACAGATACGAGTAACTTTATTCAGCAAGACTCGGTGAAAGAGAAAGATGGATGTTATTGCTCAAAAGAGCACAGTAAATCATCAAGTACTAGAAAATGCATTGAAAAAAATATCATCCTTCTGGCATCACAACTAGGATCCTGCTAGCTTATTATTACAAGATCTGCAGAAAACTTTTTGTATGCTCTTCTAAGTTGCTCTACTATACAATTATTACTCAGATACAAAACTACTACATACCAGACACCAAAAGAATGTGTCTTTTTTATCTATCCTGGATTCGATAAAATTGATCAAACAATAACGAAAACATATCAACCTTTGCTCGTAGCCATACTGCTTCGCGGAAAATACCATAATGTGGAAATCAAACTCTTAGGCAGCTACTACGTTTCATGACATGTTGAAAGCTTAGAAAGGCTGCACCTAAGGAAAAATTTAGTGGCCTACTTTGAATCGAAAAGAAAAGTTCATCTAGCTACCAGAGAGTCTTCAATAAGTTGGTCATTTCTCTTTCTGCGCAACAGGGCTCTCGCGATGGAGAAAAGTGCGATAAAAGCTATTTCCATACGCTCAGAGCTGCTTGTCTTGATGGAAACCTGGCCCATCTTCTGGTTATTGAGGTTTGCGCTCACTGACATGTTTGTACCTCGGCTCACTCTGAAGTCAGTTTGTAAGTTTCCGCTCAACACCATTTCTTTGTTAAGAGAGAGAACTGTCATCGAGAGACTCAGACTTTCGTTTCTCACTGGATAATCCCTTCCTCTTAAAGTAGCTACAAAGCTCCCGCCATAGGCTGCTTGCCCAGCACCCCCCATCCGACCAGCGTTCACATTAAACTTCAGTCTCTTTCCAATTGTAAAACTGTCTTCACACTTGGCACCAAGAAAATACTTATCCCCGAATGGTATTACAGAAATACCGCATTCAGCGACATTAGTTCTTAAAGTTCTTACCTTTGCATTACTGTGGATAGTGCAGATCAGCTCTTTATTAGCAGATTGTACATCAAGACCAACCGCATAAGTGGGCCCACCTGGATTAGTGAGAGCTGCAGCAAACTCGGATTGAACACTGAAGTCCTGTTTGTCCTTGCTCATTTGTCCATTAACCGAGGCAAATATATTTTTTCTTATTTCTGCACTGCTCTCGAGGTTAATTCCATCAAAGCTCACATCATGGTCCCATCCATTGGGATCAAGGACTGGTCTTGCAAGCCACTGTTCACTGGTGATGAGACACCTGTATCTGTGGATAGGGCAATCTGAATCGAAGCTTGGAGGAATAGCCATATCAGGCAAGAGAACTGGCTCTGGAGGGCCCTCCTGCTGGTTATCAGACTCATCATCTGGCGCTGCTTTACCCTCACTTGAAGAAACTCTCTTTTCTCTTTGTCGACGAGCTTCTTCTATCAGTTGTTTTTTCAAATAGAGGGTTTCTCGGTAGTCTAGTTCGTCAAGATAATCCTTCTTTTGGGAACCACTCAACCTTTCAAACTGAGACTTGGTCAGTATCCGAATAGGAGGTAACTGATCATATTCGTCGTCTTCATCATCTGAGTCTAAAAGAGAAACCTCATCAATTTCATTCTCAGCTCCGCCACGTCTTATCTGAGCACGATGCTTTAGAAAGGATGAGAGAAGATGCGGAAGAGAAGGCAATCGTCCTACATTTGATGGCCCCACCTTTAGGCTGTCTTCAAAGTCCAATAGGGTATTAACATCACTTAGAACTTTGGCACATATGCACAGCAACAATAACTGAGACTTCCACACCTGCCCGTTAGGGAGAATCTTCTCTCCAGCATTATTGGTCTTACAATTGGGATCATTCTCCACCAAAATTACAGGATTTTCAAGCTTAGTGTCAGAGATTGCCTGGTGAATATAATGTTGGACCAAATCTGTGCAGGTGGTGACAAAAGATTCATAGTTAACAGGATATCCGTTTGTTCCTTCGGGAAGATTGAAGGAAGAATGAGTCATTACAAGGATAGTATTAAACCAAATTGCAGGACCAAAGACTTCCGTTATAAGCTTCAACAAGGGGAAATCACTGTAGCCCGTGTTGATCAAATCCAGGCGCTCAAAATACAGGACCATATCAGGCGTTTGTTTCCTTAAATATCGTCTCACAGAATGCAATATCTTCTTGTTTTTTCGGATGTTACTGGGTGAGGGAGGCAATAAACCAGGAGTGTCAATAAACGATACTCTGATGCCATTTACCGTTCCCACTATCTCTTGAATATGGTCAGTAGCAGGCTTGAACGCGTTGGTTTCTGCTCTTGATTGGTCAAAAATGGAATTTATGGTTGAACTCTTGCCAACTCCAGTTCTACCCAGTACAAGGATCTTAAATGAGAAATCCAGTTGTGGTCGGCCAGCAGCTTCTTGTTCTGCTGCTATTACACGGGCTCTCTCAATTTTAAGATTTGCCCTTTTTAAATCTGATTCTCTAGCCCGTATCAGTGATGCCAGCTGGATCCGGTATAAGACCTTTGATACCAGAAGGTTGTCCTCGGATAGGCCAAAACGCTTAAGAAGGCGCAAGAATGTAATCTGAAGGGCTTCAATCTTTACCACTGGACTAGGTTTCTCATCAACCCTAAAATCCGACTGAAAAGAATCTTCGCCTATCCGTTGTTGTGAATGGAAATTATTTGTATTCTCTGTATGCTCTTGATTATCATTATTGGAAGATTGTATTGTATTGGCTAATCTAGTTGTCGTAATCAAATCAGCAGTGTGAGCTGAACCAAAAGAAGAAAAGAATGCCATCAACAATTTGACACAACAGCGAATACATGTGGAGATCAACAGTCAATTAATAAAATAGCGAAGTGCATATGGGCCGGCATTATCTACAAATTCATAAAATTCTTCTATCCACTATCCAGTTAACTAGTAGAACAATAAAATCCAAAAGGATATGCCTGAGTAAGGTGCTATTTCAATTGAAACTAAATAGGAATCCCAACATAACAACCTTTACGACCATAACAGGATCTGCATATAGCTTCGCTCCTATCAACAGATAAAACATTGATACATGGTTTTATTTGCTGTCATTATCTTTTACACAAATCAACAGTAATGCTGGTCTTTTTATGCTTCGTTTCGTTTTCGAATGACTTGATATTCTAGGGAATGTATTACTTACCAGAACAAAAGAGTGCCTAACCCATTGAATGTGTGAAATGTGCCTTAGAGACAACATTTGGAATTAATAGCAGTTCCCAATGAACCGTTGCACTTTGGATGCACACAAATTAATGGTGTACATAAATAATTTTGATAAAAGGTCTACATAAATAACACACAGAACCACGTAACTATGATAAACAAAGAATGTAGGACTCTTT